CTATTTTTAACTTCTCCATTTGAAGAGTGAAGGGCCTATTGTTTCTGAAATTCAGACAGATTCACCATCTGTTACCTAAGCTGTGACTGGGTGTTTGGAAAAATATCATTTTCTTTGATTCACATACCTCTCTCTTTTTTTCTATACAGACAGAAGATGAGTAACAAGAGTACAGCAATTGAAGGGATTGTAAGCAACATGGCCACCATCCAAGGAGAATTGCATTTGCCAGAGCAACCTAAAGAAACAGAGTTTTAAAAACCACTGGTTATTGGTTGGTAAGAACTTTAAATTAAGAAAAAAAGGCAAGGCCTACATTTTAATGTCATTTCTCTGTATGTATTTCAAACAGTGCTAAGGTCAAGAAGAAAAGAATCAGAGAATTACTGGTTACAGGAACAAAAATCACAGGTGACTTTAGGTCTCTGGTTGAGGACAAACATATGCAGAAAAGACAAATCAGGGTTGTCTTTCCCTCACCCATCCATCACTGGGCTAATTAGACAGAAGAATAGAATGTTCATGGTTATCACTGTCACTTTCTCTGAACCTGAAAGACGCTGGGACTAGAGACCTTTGAATTGCATGATACTCAATGATATTTGAAAATTAAAATTTCATCAGAGAACTTGAGATTGGTGGCTGTCATCCAGCACAGCCAAACAGGTTCTCCAGGAGATGAACTGAAAAACAAACAAACAAACAAACCTGATCTGACAATGATCGGATACTCTAAACAGCTGAACAATAAGGCCAGACCCAGGGAGACAACAGCAATAGAGCTGTGGTAAAACTCTCTCCACTTGGCACAAGATTCTTGCCACTGGCAATAAATAAAGCAGAAGAAGCCATTTCCAAAAGACTTTTGCTTGTAATGGTGGTCTAGTAGCTCAAGACCTTGGGTAAATCAGGCTAAGTGAGACAGAACTGTACTCTGAAACCAATAAACAAAACACTGTAAAATTATAAAAAAGAAACACTGAATCAGTATTAGTATTTGGTGAGCTGAAAATCTGGTGAAAGGAATCTTAACACAGACTCCAAGCAATATTCAGGATATTCTCAGGAGCTACATAAAGACAAGGCTCATGTTCCCGACTGAATGCATAAAGAATTTGCACAGGTCTTACCAGATTTGAGATTCCACCCATGAAAGCACTGAATGCAGACCCAGGAATGTGTCAGTAATCTTATTAACAGGATTGTCCCTTACAGAGGAACTCCCAGCAGTGGAGAAAGAACATGAGTATGGATGAGAGCCAACATCCAGTCGGATTGGATTTGCCTTTGTTTACTACATCAGGTCCTTTAAGCAGGGCACCTCAGCCCTGTTATGTTCTATTCTTGTCCTGTATTATTTTTTTTCATCTCTTTCCTCCTTTTAGTTCCCTATCTTTATTTATTGCTTTTTTTTTCTCCTAAAAACACACTATGGTATGGTTTGCAAGGTCTTTGTGCCTCAGCTTCTTGAAATATAAGGTTATTTTAGATGTTCTGGTAGCAATTTTAACTCTTTCTCTTCTGTATGTTAGCCACTCAGGATATAATTAATCAGGAAATGTATTTGGGAAAGTAAAAAGTTCCTTTCTGTAAAGCAAAGCAAACTTTTAATCAAGTAAAGAGGCAGCCTAGAGCATGAGAGAAAATCTTCATCAGCTGTGAGCCTGACAGAGGATCACTATTTTGAATATGTAAAAAACAACAAAATCACCTCAAACCAATAAAATAACAATCTAATAAAAATGAGTTATAGTGACCTGGAGAGATAACTCTCCGAGATGGCAAGACTCTCCAAGATGGTGGTGCCCAGCATGCACCACACTATGTCTGCCTAGCAGGAAATCAGAGACTGCAGAGCTAGTGAGTTGCCAAGCTGTGGCCTCCAAAACGCCAATGGCTGTGTTTCCTGAATAAGAGGAGACATCCTGAGAGCTAGGGATGCACAGCTCTGGGGACCCCTGGCTCCCAGGTGCCAGGCTACACTCACCCAGTGTCTTCCTACCTGAACATAACTCCTGAATTACAGGGACCCATGGCTTCAGCCTCCAATATCAGGCATCTCCCACCTCCCTGGAGACAGCTCCAGGATACCAGAGGCATGGTCTGACCCGCCTCCCGGTTCTACCTGTCTCCCTGAGGAAACCTGCCAGACTAAAAAAGAATAGAGCTTCTCTTTCCAAGATGGTAGTGTCCCGCATACACTGAGTCTGGGTACCAGGAGTACAGTGACTGCAAAGCCAGCAAGTGGCCTTGCTGCTGACCTCAAAATGGCAGCATCCATTTGTGTTTTCCTAGAGATATGAGAGATCCTAGTTGCCAGACAGGCTATGTTCCAGCTTCAGATTGCGCATCTATTCGCACCATCCCAAGGATGACTTCAGATTACAGACATTCCCGATTCCAGCCTATGGCTCAAGGCTCAACTAGCTATCTTGAGAAGACCTGCCAGAACTCAGGATCACACGGGTTAGATACCTACAGCTAATCCTGTGCTATGGGTTCACCTGGGATACAACCAGCAGGGAAGAGCCACAGGATAGGCATGGAGATCCAACCCCCAGCCAGTGAGCCAGAGTTCCTCCCACATGCCCCAGAAGCCCAGCAGGCTCCATAAACAGCCAGCCAATGCCAGACACAAATAGATGGCTAGAGTGCAATCATAAGACCAGAATCAACAAAAACCAGGGCAATATGGCACCACTTGAACCCAACAATCCAAATACATCAAGCCCTGGATATTCTAACACAGCTGAAACACAGGAAAATGACCTTAAATCTATGCTTATGAAGATGATGGAGACGAATAAATCCCCAAAGAAATCCAGGAAAATAAAATCAAACAAATAGAAGCTTTTAGAGAGGAAACAAATAAATCACTTAAAGAAATACCAAAAAATCTGAGCACAAGGGTCTTTCCTGAGACTGAGACCCCAACCAAGGACTATGCATGGAGATAACCTAAGACCCCTGCACAGATGTAGCCCATGGCATTTCAGTATCCAAGTGGGTTCCATTGTGATAGGAACAGGGACTGTCTCTGACCTGAACTGACTGGCCTGCTCTTTAATTACCGCCCCCTGAGGGGGAAGAAGCATTATCAGGCCACAGAAGAAAACAATGCAGCCACTCCTGATGAGACCTAATTGACTAGTATCAGAAAGAAGTCCCCTATCAGTGGAGTTGGGGAAGGGGCATGCATGCAGAGGGTGGAGGAAGGGAGGGATTGGGATGGGGGTAGGGAGAGAACCACAGGGGGTATACAAAGTGAATAAAGTGTAATTAATAAAGAATTTAGAAAAAGAAATACAGGAAAATACAATCAAACCAGTGAAGGAAATGAAAAAAAAATGGTTCAAAATCTGAAAATGGAAATAGAATCAATAAAGAAAACACAAACTGAGGAAATCCTAAAGATGGAAAACTTAGAAAAGCAAACAAGAACTACAAAGGTAAGCATCACCAACAGAATACAAGAGATAGAGGAGAGACTCTTGAGTGTAGAAGATACAATTGAAGAAATCAATACATCACTCCAAGAAAATATTAAATCCAAAAAATTCCTGACACAAAACTTCCACAAGTTCAAGGACGTGATGAAAAGATGAAACCTAAGAATAAAAGGAGTATCAGTCTCAGAAAAGACCCCGGTGCCCAGATATTTTGGTTCTGTTGCTCTCCTTGTGGAGCTCCTGTCCCCTCCAGGTCTTACTATCTCCCCCTTCTTTCATTAGATTTCCTGTACTCTGCCCAAAGTTTGGTTATGCGTCTCAGCATCTGCTTTGTTACACTGATGGATATACTCCAACTAAGGACCATTCATGGATACAGCCTAGAACCCCTGCTTATGTGGCCCATGGCAGCTCAGTATCCTAGTGGGTTCCCTAGTAGTGGCTGGCTCTTTGACCACCCACCTCCCCTGAGGGAAAAGCAGTCTTGCCAGACCACAGAGGAGGACAATGCAGCTAGTCCTGATGAGACCTGATAAGCTCGAGTCAGATGGAAGGGGAGGAGGACCTCCCCTATTAGTGGACTTGGAGAGGGGCAGGGAGGAGATGAGAGAGGGTAGGATTGGGAGGGAATAAAGAGGGAAGAGGCTACAGCTGGGATACAAAGTGAATAAATGGTAATTAATATTAAAAAACAAAAAATTAATTAAAAAAGAATAAAAGTAATAGAAGGATGGGATGGGTGGGTGGATAATGAGGGCTCCCTTTTTCTGATGGATAGAGGGGAGTGTAGGGGAAGAGAGAAAGAGGGTGGGACTGGGAGAAGAGGAGGGAGGGAACTATAATCAGGATGTAAAGTGAATAAATAAATTAGTTAATTTTAAAAAAGAAAGTCTGGAAGAATTCTGTGCTGAAAACATTCCAGCTCGTCAAGTCACATCAATAATGAATGGGTCCTCTTCCCCTGTGGCCTGGCAAGGCAGCACTACCAGGGAGGAGTGACAAGACTCAGGCATCAGAGTACATGTTAGAGAGCCCACAACTCCACTTACTAGGGATCCCACATGATTCCTGAGCTGCCCAACTGCTACATCTGTGTAGGTGGCATATGTCCATGCTATGCATGGTCCTTGGTTGGTGCTTCAGTCCCTGCAAGCCTCCCTGGGCCCCCATTAGTTGGTTTTGTGAGCCTTTTGTGGAGTTCCTGTTACCTTCAGGTCCTCTATCCTTCCCCCCAATTTTCCACAAGACTCCCTATACTTCACCTAATATTTGGCTGTGAGTCTCAGCATCTGTTTTGATCTGCTGCTGTGTGGAGCCTCACAGAGGACAGCTATGCTAGGCTCCTGTCTGCAACCATAGCAGAATAGGAGGAGTTGGCTCTCTCCCAAGAGGTGGGTCTCAGGTTGGGCCAGATATTGATTAGACATTTCCTCAATTTCTGCTCTATCTTTACCCCTGCACATCTTATAGGTAGAGTAGATTTTTTATTAATTAATTTATTTACTTTACATCCCAATCATAGCTCTCTCCCTCCTTTCCTCCCAGCCCTACCTTCCCCCTCAGAAGAGGTAATACCAATAAACATTAAACTCTTGCACAGAATAGAAACAGAAAGGGCATTGACAAATTCATTATCTGAGGCCACAGTTACCCTGATACCTAAATCACACAAAGATCAAACAAAGAGAATTTCAGACCAATTTCCCTTATGAACATTATTGCAGAATTACTCAACAAAATACTTGGAAACTGAATCCAAGAATACATAAAAAATGTTATCCACCATGATGAAGCAGGCTTCATCCTACTTTAGCAGGGATGGTTCAATATGAAAATTCACCAAAGTAATCTACCATATAAACAAACTAAAAGAAAAATCCACATGATCATCTCCTTAGATGCTGAAAAAGCATTTGACAATATCCAACACCACTATAGGTTAAAATTCTTGGAAATATCAGGAAGGCAAAGCACATACTTAAACACAATAAAAACAATATACAGCAAGCCTATAGCTAATATCAAACTCAATGGAGAGAAACTTAAATCAATCCCACTAAAATCAGGGACAAGGCAAGGCTGCCCACTATCTCTGTATCTCTTCAACATTGTTCTTGAAGTCCTGGCTAGAGCAATAAGACAATTGAAGGAGATCAAGGGGATTCAAATTGGAAAGGAAGAAGTCAAAGTATCACTATTAGCAGATGATATGATAGTATACTTAAGTGACCCAAAAATTATACCAGAGAACTCTTACAGATGATAAACACCTTCAGCAAAGTGGCTGGATACAAAGTTAGCTCAAAAAATCAGTAGCCCTCTTGTATACAAATGACAAAGGGCCTGAAAAGAAATTAGGAAACAACACCCATCACAATAGCAATAAATAATATAAAGTATCTTGGTGTAATTCTAACCAAGCAATGAAAGACCTGTATGACAAGAACTTCAAGTCACTGAAGAAAGAAATTGAAGAAGATAACAGAAGATGGAAAGATCTCCCATACTCAGGGATGGGTAGGATTAACATAGCAAAAAAGGCCATTTTACCAAAAGCAGTCTACAGATTCAATGCAATTCTTATAACAATATGAACACAATTCCTTACACACCTTGAGAGAACAATCCTAAACTTCATTCGGAAAAACAAACAAAAACCAGAACAGCTAAAATAATACTATACAATAAAAGAATTAGGGAGGCATCCCCATCCTTGATTTCAAGCTATACTACAGAGTAATGGTGATAAAAACTGCATGGTACTGGTATAGAAAGAGACTGGTTGATCAATGGAATCAAGTTGAAAGACCCAGAAATAAACCCACACACTGGATTTTTTACAAAGAAACCAAAACCATACAATGGAAAAAATGCACCTTCAACAAATGGTGCTGGTCTAACTGGATGTCTACATGTAGAAAAATGCAAATAAATCCATATTTATCACCTGCAAAAAACTCATGTCCAAGTGGATCAAAGACCTCAGCATAAACCCAGAAACACTAAATCTATTAGAAAAGAAACTGCTGATCAGACTTGAACTCATTGGCACAGGAGACATCTTCCTAAACAGAATACTAACAGCACAGGCTCTAAGATCAACAATTAATAAATGAGATCTTATGAAACTGAAAAGCTTCAGTAAGGCAAAGGACACTGTCAATAGAACAAAACAGGAGCTTACAGGTTAGAAAAAGACCTTCACTATCCCTATATCTGACAGAAGGGCAATATCCAAAATATATAAAGAACTCAAGAAGTCAAACACCAACAATGGGGTACAGAGCTAAACAGAATACTAAACAGAGTAATCTCCAATGGCAAGAAGCACTTTAAGGAATGTTCAAGGTCCTTAGCATCAGAGAAATGCAGCTCAAAATGATTCTCACATTCAGTCTTACACCCATCAGAATGACTAAGATAAGAAACTCACCTATAGCACTTGCTGGCAAGGATGTAGAGAAATGGGAACACTCCTCCATTGCTGGTGAGAGTGAAAACTTGTGCAACCACAATGGAAATCAATATGGCGGTTCCTCAGAAAATCTGGGACCCAGCTATACCACTCCTGAGCATATACCCCAAAGATGCTCTACTATATAAAAATGACATTTGCTCAGCTATGTTCACAGCAGCTTTATTCATAATAGCCAGAAACTGGAAATAACCCAGATGTCCTCAACCAAAGAATGGATAAAGACACTATGGTACATCTTCACAATGGAATTCTACACAGCTATTAAAAACAAAGACATCTTGAAATTTGCATCAAATGGCTGGAATTAGAAAAAAATCATCCTGAGTGAGGTAACCCAAACCCAAAAGTACATGCATAGTATGTATTCACTTATAAGTGGATTTTACCATATAATGCAGGATAACCATCCTACAATTCACAAGCTCAAGAAAGTTAAGTAACAAGGAGGACCCAAGGGAGGATTAATTTCACCTTATGATCAAAATGGAGACTTAAAAACAAAATGGCTAGACTGTTTAGGCCATAAAGCTTAGACATGTCTGGACATGTATAAATGTTGGTTTGCATCAACCCCGCAATACACAGTTTATGACTTTGTTTTCTGCCCTCAATGAGCCCATTAGAACTTTGAAAAATCTAGAGAGAAGAATGTAGAAATGTTGTTAGATATTAAGTGTTAAAAAGCTTTCCAATTCTTTTGTGTCTATCACCATAGGAAAAGGAAGTTTCATTTTGAATGAAGCATAGACTTTCACAAAGACCACTGTCAGCAGCTCCAGCAGCAGGAGTCTTCTAGACTAATATGTAAAGATATCTGTCTAGTTTATGAGCCGTGAGTTTATAATATCTTTGCAGAGAAGCTTCTGAATGAAATGTCATGCAGGGTTAGCTGCCTCTCTCTCTCCTGCCTTGCATCTCCCACCATGAAAACCTACTCACCTTCTAGGATTTGTAGTTTAATAGTGGGCATTATGATAAAGAGTGTCATCATAGTCAGAATTACACCCACAATCATCTTCCAAATAAAATTCCAAAAAAACATTTCATCTGAAATAGAAAATCACAAATTTTACTACCTAAGAGATTCGGAGTGTTTGCACCATCCTGATTAGGGATGACACATCAAAGCCT